GTACACTTTTTTATGCTTTGTAAAGCGATAGCTCGTAAACTTTAATATGCGAGATTCAATGTTAGTTTGATTAATATATGCAAAAAGTTTAGCACTTAATGTAGATGATTACTTTCTATGAGACCAGAGTTTCTAAACCAAAGATCTTAGATGGAGCTTTGAGTTTTTTATGCCACTCTGTTGACAGAGTGGTTGTCATTTAGGGGATAATTTATTGTAAGTCATTCTGCGTGCTTTTGATAATGACTCTGAAATATTGGATACTTTTGTTCTTCACTAAGATTTCCTCATGACACCGAACGTGTAGATTTGAATATATGATACGTACTAACCATCATTTACTGTATTTCAAAAAAAGTGACTATGCAACTTCCAGGAAACTGTTTAAAATATCTCAGGCATTATTTATTGATGTTTCAGAAATGGATAATTGTCATACTACAGTTTTCTTAGATCATATTATGTAAAGTTCACAATGTTCATTTAAGTGTTTCTTATGAAAAAGATCATTATTCATAAGATAGGCTTTAAAAATGGTTGAAATTTTAAGAAAAAGTAAAATGGTTTTATTTTAAGATTCACCAAAAGTAGAAAATGTTCCCAACCGTTGTTGCTACCTTGACGTGGTGGTTGGGCTTGCCTATCGTGGTGAAGCAACCGAGCTATACTGGCTAGAAAAACCGTTCTTCAAGGTCCTACCATGTAAGAAAGGTCGGTTGAAGAGCGGTAAGACTAAAAGCAACAAACCCAAGGTCCGAAGGCGAAGTCGTACTGCTGACTGTACAGAGGTGTGACAGCAGTAAGGTGTTTCCTTCAGACAACCAGCATGACAGCGATGCTGCCTTCCCACAAGGAGAGGTGGGGTTAGAAATGGTCGATCCTAAAAGTCCACACCTCGCCTTATCCCACGGATATCCGTCTCCGGCGGTAAGGTCGTGTGTGACCGACCTCAAGCAGTTGTTCCTTGGACACTGCGGTCACGCTCCCAGGTCATTAAGACCACCTCTACTTTAATTTCCTTTCCAGGTACCTCCAGATGAACCCTTCCACGGTATGGGCAACCGGGAAGTGATAACCGCCCTCATACCTCTAACAGCACTCAAGATTACTGTATTCATAATCAATCTCCTAGAAAATGTCCTAATATCATAATCAGCACAATTTAACGACACTGTTTTACATTTACCGAAATCAGTTCACTAAAGATGCATTACAACCATCATTAGATTTCACACGTGAGTAAATGTACTTACATACCATTTGATTAACTAAGTATGCTAGAAATTCACACTGTAATTTCAAAATGATCTACTCATAATGTTAACATGCTTAGATTGATATCATGAATGGATCAATGTTATACCACCATTGAAAACCTGGAAACACTGGACAATCATTTCGTTCTAGTTTGGGGTTCCTCATTATTGTGCGACCACAATCCCGCACGTGGAACTCAAACTTAGGACCTTCGGTCTCTCACACGAACACTTAACATCCATACCACTGAGCCGGCGTCCAACGGTGTTAATGTATATCTTCGAGCAATCAATGATCTTGCGCAACCCCTCATCCATTGTCTGGGTTGAACATTAACACATTTGAACGCCAGCTCAGTGGTCTGAAGGTTAAGTGTTTGTGTGCGAGACCGAAGGTCCTAGTTTCGAGTATCACGTGCGATATTGTGATCGCGCACTGCTGAGGAGCCCCATACTAGAACGAAATGACCGTCCAGTGTTTTCAGGTCTTCAATGGTGGTCTAACATTGGTCCATTCATGATATTGATCAAAACTCAACAATCTCTACAACTCTATACTAATATTAGTATGTGTTTAGAAAAGTACTAACAAAAACTCAAATCAGTACATATAAAGAATGTGTCAACACTCTGAACTTTCTATAGGTGAAATTAGCTTTAAATTATTTATTCAAAATACTTAATAAATATAACTATTTTCGGTTGCTGTACTACAAACAAACTGCTACTATTACGCACAAAATGTTGATAATTATTTAGCTATAGACTTTTGTTAACAACGAATTCAATAGCTGATAATTGTCTATTTTTAAATGACAATTGAAAGAAGGAAATCAGGCGGCGATATAAACTATGAAGTTCATCAATTATAAGAGCACCTTATAAAAAGAAGGATACATTAAGATGTATTTCTCGTTAACCATTTAGTATTTTTTCATACTATTGTAAATAAAAGGAATATAAAGAGTCTTAATAACTTGATAATATTTGAAGATAATCTCAGTCACTTAATGACATTAGATAAGGACCTATTGAAGTCAGGAAACTTCATGTAGTTGCTCCACTCTCGTCAACAGCATGTACTCAGTGATTCCTACAGGAATAAGCTCAAAACATTTAGATTTCTAGACGAGTACAGCATTATTAGGCGATTAAATCACAATCTACTTGTTTGATTTATTATAAATTTATTAGAACTTATTGTATAAGCCATGGAGAATGGTGTTACTTACAATGATATTGGGTCAATCAAGAAGTATTTTAAATATTTCAGTTCAGATTATGGAGATATTTCACTGACGAATTCAGAATATAAAATCAACTCTTCAGTGTTTATTAAGCAATGGTGTATATTATATATTTCGAGGTTTACTTATTACTGAATTTTATTCTAGCTGGATAAAAATTCTCAGTTTCATAGATTTTTCAGCTGGAAAACATAAGCCTGAATTTTGTCTGTTTTTTTTTGTTCTAGACTAAACCCAATTCATATAGCCAACATTGTTTATGAATTCAGTAACCGACTGGTTCATCTTTGTGAATGGTTTTTGTTTAATTTGTCATGTTTACAGGGTCAACCCCTTCCTGATAGGTTGAATTCTTATACCACGCACACACACATGCAGATAAAGATGTACATGGATATTAATAAACGAGTAGACATTTCTAACCTATGCAGATCAAATTTTATGTTTGAAGGAATAGGTCTGAAATATTAACTGATATCACAAAGTTTTATTCAGCGTATTTTTTGCAATGCTGGCCAATCAGATTAATGAATCGCAACCATTCATCCATCAAAACCTCACTCTAAAGACATTATATTAATGGTTGTAAAAATAGTGTTACTTCGGGATTTGTTAGCACTAGCTTCATGCAAATCAAACAATGAATGATAGTTTCATCTCAGAACACTTAATTATTAGAAATTAGTAAGCTATAGAGGTTTCAATAAAAGTGTACTTATCGAATTATGTGATATACTTAGCAACACTGAAAAGAACATTCTGGTTAGACGAACAAATTTGGTGGTTGCATTGAAATATAGTCGTCCAACCTGTGTTGGTTATCCACGAAGACAGACTAATCCTGTGTCCCAACGAAATAACAAAGATTACAACTATTCGAACTCTATGTACTTTGTTAATGGTTATCGTTGAAGCCTAACCTTACAAGAATCAAGTGTTTATATAGTCTAACTCGTGAATGCATTACGTGACAATGAATATTGATGCCGGCTATTAAGATAATGCATACGAATCATTTCATTATTGTATTTTATTGTCTCACAGATGAAATATCATATCATTGTTTAGTACCCATATTTAGTTAGGAATATACTTCGCTGTGCATACTAATGACTGATTCATTTGGTGTTCATTAATTGTAAAATGGACCAATTCAGGTTCTAATTGATAGCAATGGAACAAAAGTTTATCAAAATTGATAGTGAGGTAATTATCTATCGTTAACATTATGCGAAGCCAACATGATATCGTTAGTTAACTGAGAATAAGAATGTAATCGATTAGTAAAGATTCCCTGGTTGTATATCATCATCCTTAATATTAGATTTTAAGGTTATGGGCTCTATCCTCTTTTGGAGTTGTTGATCCATACCGCTGAGGAGTCCTAAACTAAAACTAATTTATGTATAAGCTTCCTTAATTTTTAATGGTAATCCAACTAATTTTCGTAGAATCTGGTGAATTTTGATAAACATTAGGCGGAAAGTATGGAAATTAGCTAGAAGATATATAGAGCAAAAAAAATTAAAAGGGATTTCTTTCCTATACCCTCATCATCCTAGAACCTAACTCCTAATACATCATTTCAAAGTTAAAGACTATATCACTAATTTACAAAGTCTGAGATGTTCGGGTAAACAACAGTATATGAATGCAACTAATGGTACTGAAAAGGAATTCTGACAAAAAATGAGGAATCTTTTAGAAACTCATTAATTATATTGAGATTCGTAGTATGGGACAGTGCTAATCTGCCTAAGTTGTCGTTCTTCTGAAGCAAAAAATAACAATTTTTTTTTAGAAATTTCAGCTAATTGGAATAAATTGAAGTAACGAGCTGATGTGACTCAATGCGGACAAATTAGCTACATGTTTAAGGACTATCTTGTAACTTAGTTACTGGAACTTTTTGATCAATAACTGTACCAGTTACCTCCTATTGGACGAAACTCTGATAGTTCAATGTTCATCGCTTGTAAGATGAATATTAGAAGTATGATTAAAATGTGAAGCGAATTTAACCATATTGTGAACAAAATGTAGGTATTCTTTCAATAAACTGTGATGGAATTTAAGGGAGATAAATTATTTTTGTATTTTAAGAATGGTATAATATAACTGATGCTACCTTTCTTTCGTAAAATATAGGATAACAGTTTAATACCGTCTTTCCGATCCGATTCAAGAAGTTGATGAATATCAACAATATGATAACTGTCTTTCAGTTTAATATTCCAAGTTTCAATGTAAGGAATTAAATTTTACCCTTTTGTTATGATTTTTAGTTCTCTTTGTAGAAGGCTTAGTATATCATTTCACCCTTGATTACTTACTAAAAATGTATACATTGATTTCTATAAGGCTTTAATTTCTTCAGAGTAAGCCTAAGTATGTGTTGCTTCATACGGTTAAAATTGTTTTAATCCAAGATGAAAACTATTCAGTTACAGGTTGACAGATGTTATATACAAATATGTAAATTTTATTAATTACTTACTTCATAAATGACAGTCCCAACTGATGTATTTTCAGCTACACTGATATTATATACAGTAAATGAGAATCTGGGTTCGTTATCATTCATATCTGCTACTTCGATATCAATTTCCAGACGAGATTCACGTGAGATTGCTTGACCATTCCATGCGTTCTTTGAATCAATAACATTCGGACTGTAAGCAACTAAGACAAACCTATGTCTCGTTTCCATTTCTGCATCCAAATCTTCAGTCAATATTAAGCCAGGTTGACCTGAATTACTTACTTCCAGTTTAAAAGGACTTTTGAAAGGAATAATTGAACTGGATCCATCATTATGCCATGATTCAAGTCGATAATTTATTCTACTATGTTCAGCAAGTATATCAATATCTCTAGCTTTTGGTAGATCAATTCTCCTACCGGCTCGATAAAGTGCCTCTTTTAAACGTTTATGCCATCTAATTTGATCAAACTTTGGTCCATTGTCATTAAGATCATGTATACGAACAATGATATGATGAACTGCTCGAAGACTTCCATCAATTTGTACAGCATTAACATCAAAATGTACTGTTAAATCACCAGAGCTATTACATTTGATCTGATCCACTACTGGTATAGTTTTACTACGATTATTCTTAGATTTACCAGGTTCCAACACTGTATTTGTTTAGTAGAATACAAAGAAAATCAGAATAAAAAAACACATTAGATTAATTGGCATACAGTAATTAACATTTTTACTCATTTAGAGTAAATTACTATTTATATTTATCTGTGAATACTGGACTAACTTCATTATGTATTGTTTACTATCAGTGATATTAATTCCTAGATTTTTTTCCCACTACTAATACAATGTACTGACAAAATAAAGCATTACATTCACGGATTCAAGTTTATATTATATAAATCACCTTGTTCATGATTTATTCCAATGTGTACATCTTAGTAAATATAAAATCATGTTGACTTTAAGGTAACTAATTACAATACTTCTTATCTATTATACTAAGCTAAAAAGCGATCAATGATAAATGAAATTGTAGTATTCATAGGTAAATAAATAAATAAATGGATAAGATATTTTCTTATAGGGAAAATAAATTTTATATACTATGCCAAATATTACTTTTTATGTGAACAAATAAAAACATACGCATATGCCAAAGGGGAAAAAAGAAGAATAAAAAGTTAAAAGAAGAAGCGAACAAACATGGAAATGAACAAAATTATCATCAATTTAGTTATAAAGTAATTTTTAAAGAGCTAGATAACAGTTGTTTCATTGACTAATACTATACTAAGCTCGATTTATCCATTGTATTATATTCATATGAAATTACAAAAAAAAGAAAACACTATGCAAACAATTGTACAATCTATATTTGTGAATATTTTATTACAATTTTAGAAGTATTTAGTATCTTTGAGAAATAAATTTGTTGAATAGAGAAAGAACCATGAACTAAGGCAACACGTTTCATATATTAAAGCATGAATATCAATACTCTTCAATTGTTCAAAGAAATAGAAGTACTAGTTCAAATATTAGTATGAATACTATTACTACTATTGATATTAGTGATGGCGCTATTAATAATAATTATGATGATGATGATGACAAAATAAGAAATATTTATACGGTTACATAAAAGTTGATTATTTATATTGACTTATTAGGTAAAACGGGAGAAGAATGTTCATAAGATTTATTTATTTTGTAGTGAAATATCATACTTTATAGAAATACTTGTCCAAAAGATAAGAGATTATGCCAAATTATATACAGTATGGAATGATGAAAACTAATAAATGAATGATTTTTAACAAATATACACAAATAGAGAATGAAATTCCATGTACAGAATGGGTTATCAACATTAATTAATAGAAATTCAATAAAATACTGATCCGCTTATTTAGTTGTCATATAAGTTTGTAATCTTTACTGAGATCGAAACAAACAGAATACTTTTACTTGGTGTTGTTTAGTTGCATCTTCCTATTGTTATTTAGGACTGCAGTTGATCAGTCTCTTTTTGGCATATGTACATCCTGTGCGGACTGCCTCAATATTGCTTGAAGTTACAAGCTTTATAAGCAAAGATGGATAGTGGATAACAATGGAATTCAGAATGAGCGTTTCGTCCTATTTGGGACTCGTCAGATGGGTGTACCTGCATCTTAGACTTGATGTTCACTTTGAGACTCGAACCACTGCTAGCCACTGTCCATCTTTGCTTAAACAGAATACAGTTTCAGAGTGAGTTTAAATTTCTAGTTTGAATAAATTTTTCTGGTTAGCGTTTTTTAGCGAGTTAGTTATCTACGGAATGGGGTCGCAAACCCCATGCCCAACCCTCCTCCGGGCTTGGGACCGGCAGAAGCCGCCGGGGGGACTCCAGGCGGAGGCGTAAAGAACACATTACGCTGAGAAATGGAGACAGACGTGAGAAAAATGAACAAGAATTGGATGGAACTATAAAAGAAAGCCCAGGACAGAGTGGGTTGGAGAATGGTGGTCAGCTGCCTATGCTCTATTGGGAGTAACATGCGTAGGTAAGTAAGTTAAATTTCTACATACAGAGAGTTAAGTATGATATGGCATATCACGTTTTATTTGAATCCCATATAAAATTTCTTCACACAAATAGTCTCTGAAAAAGTTTGAGAATTAATTAAAGTAAAAAAAGTGAACTATATCGCTAACCATAATCTAAGATGAGTATTTTGTTAGTAATGCAATGAAAGTAATATGCACTGATTTTATGTACAAATCTTACTTCATTAAGTCAATGGTCAGGACAATCTATTATGAAATTCAGTGTATCTATTAAACGCCCAAACATAGAAATGTAATTAGAATACAGAATACCTAATATACCATTCTCTGAAAAGAAGACATATGTTGACAAGCAGACCAACGCTGTGTGATGAAAGCTGCATTATAGATTCGTACTATGCAGTGTTATGTTGTAGTTTGTAGATTAAATCGAATAAATTGGCAGTATTATTAGATGAATGACATGTAATTTAAGCTTACCAATTTATTTAAAAAAAAGTGGGAATGTAGGATAGTACCATCAATCTATAAGCAGCAACACAGAGCTAATAATCTTAAACACACGAAAGACATCCTTGTTTAGAAATGCTAATAACAGATATTTGGCATAATTGTATTCATTGTATTAGAAAAATATTTTAAACTATGAAATGAATTACCTCCAATGTAGCTTATATTCTATCTAAAGTGATTGAACAGAGCAGCATAATAAAATATCACAATAAGCAATTGAATGAGTTGTTCCGAATTCAACATTCGATTCACACAAATTTAACTTCATTGAAAAATCATTCAATAAAATTCTGCATTGTTGAGGTGAACGGAGTGTGCTGTAGTAGTTCTCCAAGTTTCAGCTCTGTACAACAGAACTGTCTTGACGTTATGTTGAAAATTCTGATTTAGGTTTTGGCTAACAGTTCTGACACCGGTCTTCAATTGGAATGCACTTGTCAGCTGTCCTCCATGCATGAATTTACAGTGTCGTCCGTCATATGAATTCCGGATGATCTTGACCATGTTCTCAGGTACATCGTAGTATCGAGGCACACTACGTAAAGTTTTCCTACGCAAAATGTCGAGTATTTCCGCATACTCAAAGCAGCTGATGTATAGTGACAAGTTCCATTCAAATAATTGTTCAATAACGATCTGTACACAGCCCATCCTTAAGAAGTCCACCCACTTGATCTCGAAGTTCGGTGTATACTGAGTCTTTCAGCCGGTTCAGCAACACTCTGTTGAAAACGTTTGGTGGTACTGACAGTAGAGTGATGCCTCTGTAGTTCTCATATTTGCTCAGATCTCATTTCTTTGAAATCTTAATGTGGTATCCTTCTTTTCAGCCTGTCCAGACTTGTTTTTCCCTCCAAATCTTCCTGAATAGAATGTGGAGCATGTTTGCAGTTGCTTCTATGTTTGACTTCAGTGCTTCAGCTGGTATATTGTCAGATCTTTCTACTTTCCCATTCTTGATTTGTCTGATGGCCATCCTGATTTCTCCCATCATTGACGGAGTGGCATTTATAGAAATGTTTGTGTGCTGCTTCAATATCTAGTGGGTTCCTTGGGGCTGGTTTATTCAAGAGTTCCTCAACGTTCTCTACTCATCTGTCGTGCTGTTCATAAAACTTAAGGATTGGTTTTCATTTTTTGTTCCTTTCTGATCACTCCGTTTTACTATATATTTCAGCTAGCTCCTTCATTGTATCATGTAGTTTCATAAAGTCACATATTTTTTTTTATCTTACAGCTTTTCCTCCTATCATTATTAGGTATACCACATATTTCTGTTTATCAGCTATGATACTCTTGTTCACTTTCTTGTTTGCCTCTGTGTATTCATCTGTGCCATGACTTTCTCTACTTTTGTTCGGCTGTTGTTACTTGCTGTCTCATCGTTGCTCCCTTGAATCCTGTCCAGGGTTTTGATAAAGAGCCATTCTTTATGATGATGAGTATTTTGTCCCAGAACTTCCTGAAGTTAGCGCTCCATTTATAGTTGTTCTCCACAGCATTCCCTTCTTCTTTGAGTGAACCTTCTAAGGCTTGTGCCCTGTTTCTATGTGTTCTTGAATTCTATGAGCCTGTAAGTATCTCGGAGAAAAGCTGTGTTGGACCTTTGCAATTATGTTTCGCCAGTTGTCCAGTGCTTCTTTAACCTCAGTTTCATCTTAACCACCACCAGATCCGTGTTATTAAGTCTTCCTTGGACCTTCTCTAATTTTTACTGATGTAGTCGATCTGGTTATCCGTAATGTGACCCGGTGAGACATATGTAGCTTTGTCTATGGGTTTGTAGGGGATTACGGTGCCACTGTTGAAAGCACATGAATTTGAAAAACTCTCATCGTGTTTGTTCCTCCCTATCTATCCGTGTCTCCAAAACAAGTGTTGTCTGTTCAGACCCCGATGTCTAGGTTTCTCATCATAATGGTCAGGTCCTCTCCTGAACACTTCTCTACGATTGACTACAATCTCTCATCAAAGTGGTTTTTATCGTCCTCGCTGCTATCATTGGTGAGTGCACGGTTCCAAATGACATTAATCGTAATCTCTCCTTTCTTTGTTTTGAAGGAGGCTTTGTTGGTCCTGAATACATGAGATTCTCATCCTATAAGTGCTTTTCGTGCTTCCTTGGACAGAATGAGTGCAATTCCTTATGTATGCGAAGCATCTTCCTCCTTATAGCCAGAGTACCACAGCACCTCTCCCAAAGCTAATCTTTCCTGTCCAACTTGGGTGCAATTGCTTTCACTTATTCCAAGCACCGCCAGGTTATATCTTTTCATTTCTGCAGTTGCTTGAGTGGTTCTCATGGCGGACGTTATAACTCTTCTTTTTAGTTAGCGAATTTTAGCAAGGTTGTTTTCTATGTGGTAGGTTTGCAAGCTCCATACCTAACCCTCCTCCTTTGTTTGGACTTGGGATCAACGCTAACGCTAGAAGGGGTCTGAGTGGAGTTAAGCTCATATATATCAACTATTGCCTTTGGTCAAAAAGTTAACATTACCCCTAGATAATCACATATGCTAAAATAATATTTTAAACGGGAAAAACGCAGATCCACTCAACTATTTAAATCTTGCTTACAAAT